AACCACCGATGACTATTGCTGCTGAATTAAGAAAAAGAAAAGAAAAGAAGAAAAAAAGGCACTGAGGCCGAGATTCGAATTGTATAGTTTTCTTTTTTCTCTTTAGGATTATAATGGATATTAGCAGAAGATCAAAAGAAAAGAATAGAATGAATAATGTTGTTTTTGACGGTCACTGTTGGCACACACGCGCGCAAGAGAGAAAAGAAGCACGACTAACCTACAGACAGACTGTACACGACGAGCATAACGATTGTTATAGGTCTGAAATAGGAAGGACAGGAACGAATTTTGTTGAGCTCAAGACAATGATGACAACAACAACAATTATACGAAGATGAACATTAACAACAATAACAAGAACAACAGAAAGATATAGACAGCACCAAACAGTTTCGACGTGCGCGTCATAGGTGTTTTGTTTGTTCGTTCGTTCGTTCTTCAAAAAAAGGATTATGAGAGAGAGAGGGAGTGTGAATTAGGATATTAAAAATTGAGCGGCGCGCGCGTTTGGGAAAAACGGAACAAAAAAAAATGAAGAAACACAAAGCTTATTTTGCTAATAAAATAAATATATATGAAGACGAGAACTCTTGCGTACTTCGCAAAAAGAAAAAAGAAAAGAAGATAAAAACGAGAAAAAAAAGAGAGAGAAATACATCTCAAAATACAAGCACACGCACACACACACACACACAAATTTACGAGATGAGAATAGGAGAGAGAGAGAGAAAAAGAAGTACGAGAGACAGGAATCACAGTAATTCGTACTGTCTCAAGTGCATACGTTGAATAATGTCGCGACAATCATTGAATACTCGACGAATATTTTCTGTATCAACCGCACAAGTAAAATGCGGATAACAATAATGACGATTTTCACCGGTAGCCGTGCTGACTCGCTAAAAATATATATTGCTACACATAAATGTTTATTATTAAATAAATTTTTACCAAAAATTCATCGCGGATAAAAAATTTAGCTCGGGTTACTTCAGGATCTTCATCCGGTTCAGCTTTGTCTAAAGAAAAGAAAAGAAAAGAATAATTTAATAAATTTTTATTCGATATTATATCTATTAAACTAGTCATATCATGAAATTTAATTTTAGGTCATACGAAACAAAACAACAAATATCTTGAAATCTATGTTTTGATTTTATCCTTACTGTATTTTTGTACAGAAACTTCTGTGAAAATAAAATAGATAAAGCTTGTTATCTTATTTCGTTTTATTTACCTTGTTCACCCTGTGAAACAACATATCGAGCAAATTCAGGAAAATAATCTTCAAGTCGTCGACCAGTTTTGATTTTTTCAGCTAAAAGATCTTGTTTGTTGAGAAATAATATAACAGAAATAGCTCGTAGCCATCTAATAAAACGAAAATAATACATTAAATAAATATGATCTTTGTTATTGTTGTAAAGTATGTTTTTTTACCGATTATTCCAAATATTTTTAAAAAGTTCAAGAGATTCTCTCAGTCGATTTTCTCCTTCATCTTCAACGAGCATCATATTAAAACTGTCACATGCGGTGACAAATATAATTGCAGTGACATCATTGAAACACTGTATCCATTTTCGTCGTTCTTCACGTTGTCCGCCCACATCGAACATACTATAAATAGATATATGGTAATTTTTTCCTTTTTCTTCTCATACTAGAAATAATACATACTGGAAGCGCACGCGTTCAACGGTAAAAATAGTTTCGTAAATGCCCGATGTGAGCACACGACAACGAAGAATATCCTATAATAAAAAAATAAATAAACAAATTAATTCATTCGTATGTCATCAATAGAAAAACGAATGTTTATATAAACATTAAATTCATCCTTTCTAGTATACACACTTGTTAAAAACGAAAAGTTGCTCAATGGAAAGATTTTACAATACATAAACACTATATCAGAGATGAGTCATATAGAACATAATTTTCGATTTAAGGCACTATGATATCAGAGTATGTATCATTTACGTTTATTTGAATACAAATCAGGGCTGGACAAGTACGGACTTTCTCGAGTACGAGTACTTCGCCTCATCTCTGATATAAATGACGTCAAATATTTTGATTTCGATCACGATTTTAAATCTAAATTCTATATTGTCCTTTTAATTATGAGGTCGCTGGTATATATATATACACAATTGTAAATAACTATTACTCCTACAATCTTAAACAGTACTTGATTTTGTAAAAAAAACTGCTTGTTTACATAAAAAAAAATTTCTATAAAATCATCTAACAAAAACAGAATTTTAACTCTTGACATAATAGTACTTTATTTGTTATTATAAGAACGATTACAACTTGTCTATTAATACCTCTTGATAATACGATATAATTCACTTTGAACTATGCAATAAAAATAGTCCATTAAGAACAGTAGAAAGAAAAACTATTTTGATTGATAGATACAAGGTTCTACACGATCTTTTGTCATGACCTTATTACCACAATAGGAAGGATATTCTAGATGTCATTACTGTGATTTTTGAAACCTAATAGTCAATAATGACCATAGCTATCAGCTAAAATAATTTATACAATTAATATAAAAATAGCGATAGTATTACTTGTAGTAACCACTAGTGAATATATAGGGGTAAAATACAATGCATTAAATATGAACTATTAAAAAAGTTTGTATATTGAACATTATATCTCAGAAAAAAATTTTTTTCCCAAACCTAATAGATCATACAAAAAAATTTCAAAACATCGGACCTATGCGTACTAAATTCGATATATCTATTTCTATTGAGTAACTACATACCTGTTCACTGGGCATATAATTTGGTACGTTAACTTCATGAACACGATCAAGAAAACTAGAAGAAAAAATTTATTTTTAATTTATTTATTTTTTTAATCTTTCAAACTACGAACTATTTAGCGCAATCGATAAGTTGATATTCATGTGATCGTTCAAAGCAGGCTTGTATACCCGCATCATTCCAAAGTAGCGCTGCATTTTCGAAAAATTCCGATCCATAATCAAAATCTAATGAATGTGCTGTTGTTATCATATATTGAGCACGTGGTTGATTTTCTGGCTTTTCAAATTCAACAGGTGGATTAATTTTATCCATAGCGCGTATAATACTCTTAAGAAGTACAAAAGAACATTTATTGTTTGTTTATTTAAACAAAAGCACTTGATTTCAATAATACATACGGTTAGTGAATCACGAATATTACGGTAAATATCAGGAATTTTATCGATTTTTTCTCTAAAAGTAAAACAAAATTTTTTTGGGAAAAAAAAAAATTTCAATTTATACTGTTGAGTGAAAGGATTATGCAAAATTTTCATTTGTTTAACAACAGTTGATTTTCCGGACTCACCAGCGCCTTTAAATAAATTAAATAGAAAAATAAATATATATATATAGATTTATATGAAATTCAAACCCAAGAGAAGTAATCGATAAGTAGCTTTATAAACTTTTTCATCTTGTTTTAATTTAGCATTGATTTGTTTATTAATTTGTTCACGTTTTTTCTCTTCATCATTTTTAGGTGCAATACAACTCCAAAGTTTCGGCATTTTGATTTTTTCGTTTATTCGATTAACATATTCTAATGAACAATTCGTCATCTGGAGCCATGCATGCACGCATAGATGCGCGTCGATAATAAATTCCTTTTTATTTTGTTTTTTTTAATCAAACAACAAAAGAAAAAACGTTTATAGATAATCTAAAAATAATAGAAGAAATTCTCTTGAAATAATCAAGAACATAGACAAATAGAACATTATTTCAATATAGATGTTTCATATACAACCGCACATAATGCGTATGAAAGACGAAAATTTATGACAAGCTAAGATTAGCAAATGTGCCCAAAATAGCTCACTAGACATCTATGCACTTGTTAATGATTAAAAACAACAAAGAAATTCAAGAGGAAAAAAATCAAGAATTTTTTATTTTAAAATAACTTTTTAAAAAAGAACAAAATTCATATTCGATTTGTTATTGCCATATTCGAGGTGTTGTTGTTATTGTCATTAGAATTATTATTATTATTATTATTATTGTTGTTGTTTATTTTGTGTCGAACGAGCAATTGAAATAGATGGTTGGCGGAAAGAATACCAATGTCTGATTGGTTAATAGAACTAACCTATAGGAAAAAAAGAAATTTTTTTTTAAAATAATTCAAATTTGAAATTTGAATTGTTTCAAACGTAAGTTTCCTTTTTTATTATTAATTAAATAGAAGAATATTCGTAATAGATTTTTTGGGGAAATAATTAAAGCTTTTTTTATCCGTTTGAATAAATTTATAAAGAAAGCAGAATTAGATATAATATAATTTTTAAGGCTTAACCATACTAAGCGATTATGAGAGATATTTCCTTTAATACAATAGAATTTCTTATTCAGATGTTATGGTATGTTTAATTTTTATCTGATCGGAAATATTAGAAAGTTTATTTTACAATCGAAGTCAAACGATCCCGTGAATTATTTTCTAGTCTACGAAATCGAATTTTATAGTCTGCTGCGATTATTATTTAATGAAACATAATGTCGACGATTTAATCATCAGGAATCGAAAAAGGTACGAAAAATCCCATGAAATAGCTGATAATTCGAAATTTTGATAAAACCCATTTTCGAGCTTTTATAATCATTACAAAAACATATATTTGTCCAGGGGCTCCGATTACCTATTTGTCTTTCTGCCAAAATCGAAAAAACCTTCTGCTAAAATTTTTAAAGTTCTTCTGTAAACTTGTTTTTTATGCTCTTTTTGCCAGAAACTCCAGTAAAAACAGTTTTTCGAGGCAAAATTCCACAGAAAGTACATATTTTCTACGTTATATGACAGCACTTTTACCAAATTTTATCCCCTCCTACTTTTGAAAACAATCGGGAACCCTGTATTTGTCTCTGCATAGGCTTTCTGATTTAAAAAAATTCATCATTTATTTTTGTTTTCAAGAGATTATTCAAATTTATTTATTTATTTTAGAAATGTCATCAAATTTATTTTATGATAGTGATGACGAACGTGATAGTTTTGATGTTGAACGTTTACAAATTCAAACGTTCCAAAATAATTTTTTATCAGCATCGATAGAAAGTAGTGAAGATGATGATGAAGGTATAATTGATGGTACTAAAATTCCTTCATCAACTAAAACAAAAACTCGTGCTCGACATTCATATTTGGATATATCAATATTATCATCATCACCATCATCTATATCTATTCAAGACGAAGAAAAACATGATGATGATAATAATGAACAAAATCCATTTGATATTATTTCAAAATCTATTGATCTTGACCATCTCAAACCTGTGAAAAAGAAAAAAAGTCTTGGTGTAGCAAAATCAAGAATTATTCTTGATACAACTGATATTTATGAACAAGATGATAGTAATCATAGTCATGATTCATTTCGAAAAAATGATGGTAAAATTAATTGATTATTTCATAGTCATTTTTTTTTATTCATTATTAAATAGATGATGATAACAATGATGATATACAATCAAGTAAAACTAAATCAAATGCCAAAGTAAAATAAATAATTTTATGTTTATTCAATTATGTGTTTTTTTTATTTAGTCAAAAATTCGAAAACCAACGAAAGCTGCAATTTTGGAAACAGAAAAAAAGATGCAACAACTCAGTCGTTGTAAGATAAAATTAATTATATCGGCTTTGAATAAAAGATCTCAACTAGGGAGCTGCACCGAGTCTATCAAGTCCAACGAAAGAGTCGTAAATTATTCTAACATTTTGTAAAGAGATGTTTGCTCTTTCATTCTGTGTGCTTAGAATCGTGCAAGAGCCTTTCATAGTCCAAATTTTTTTGGGTAAAAGCTCGGGTTTAGACCCGGGCACGGAACTACGGGTCCGGATCTTTTTTTTCATAAAATTTTAGCTACGAAAGGCTCTTGCACGATTTTAAGCACACAGTATGAAAGAGCAAACATTTCCCTACCAAATGAGCGTTCGAATAATAGTTGAGTATCCGAAATGATAGAATAATTTACAACTCTTTCGCTGAACCCAACAAACGCCAAGATTACAATATTTTTACCGATGATAGAATCTTATAACTTGTCATAAAATCTATTTTTTGTTTTAGCTGAACATTTAGTATTACCCACATTTATTCCCAAACCATTAGAAACATGGCATGCATTAGAAAAACGATCTCGACAAGAATTAATGAATGAAATTCGTGCAAAGTAAAGAAAATAGTTATTAAAAAAAGAAAACTTATTTTTTTCATTTTAGAAATCCTTCATTTACTCCTCAAGATCCTGAATTACCTGAATTACCAGTAGTTGATATTGAAACAACTGCAGCATCAACACTTGCTGATATAACGAAATTAATCGAGGATAAACCATCAACATCATCCAATACTCTCAATAAACTTAGTCGATTTTTAAATCCAGATATATTAAAAAAGAAACCAACAATGTCAAATATGGAAAAAGAATCAACTACAATGATCGATTTAACTGATACAAAAAAAGCACCAAGCCAGTAAGGAAAATAAATTATTATTTAAAATATATGTTTTTTCCTTTATTCATTTTAGTCCTACTGTTAAATCAGCTATTAATATTTCACTTGGTATGTTTTTTTTTCGCATAAAAATATGTAATTATTTTATTTTTATAATTATTAGATTGTATTAAATCTCCATCATCTAATAAGAAATTATTTGAAATGCAAAAACAACTTGGTATTCGAATGCGAGCTAAACGAGCAGCGATGCTAGCTGAAAATGTGACAAATACTAAAATTGAAAGTGATGATGAAGAAGAAGAAGAAGAACAAGAAGCAGAAGAAATTGATGACGACTCAATGGATACTACCGATGAAAGTAATGATGTAAATTCTGAAATTGTATCGATTATTGAAAAAGAAAATGTAAATATAAAATATTAATTTTTGAAAAATATTTTATATGGTAATTATATTTTAAGGATAATTTACAAATTAATGAAGAGACAAGACAATCTCTATGTAAGTCATCATTTTATGAAGAAAGGAAAACTAATATGTATTTTGTTTAGCTGATGATGATGAAGATAATGACGAGGATGAAGAGCAAGAAGAAGAGAATGAAAAGGAAAATACTAATACACCTAGTGATCCAAATCGACCTTCATTAAAAGTAATTTTATAAAAGTAAAGATTGTCTAAATATCATTTGATTTCTAGACGATACTTACACGATTGGAATCATCAAGTGAACCGATACAACCACAACCAGTGTAAGTAAAAAATGAATCAGTTATTTATTAACTCGGTATTATCCCTTTTAAACTCCGACCTTGTCCACTAACACTAGTTATAGTCAATGCAGATAGTCTCGTGCTAATCATTATTTCTAATTATATAACTATTCAGTCAATGAACTATAAATAAGTTTTGTAGAAAATTATTTTTTTGTTTAGAGAACAAAATGGTCAAACTGAATGGTTTAATTCTGCACGGCCAGCACAGTTTGATTCTGAGCTTGAAATGCTTTGTTCCGGTGCATTTGATGGAAATAATATGTATGTATTTTATTTTGTATAATTAAAAATTCTATCTATATTGTAATTATTTTTAAGTATTCCACTATCGCAAAATTATACACGTGTTGAACCGATGGCATTTTCTCCATTGCCACCGACACAAATCGAAGAAGAAGATGAAGAAGATATTGGTGTACGACGTCCGAAAGTTCGTCAATTAATTGATGATGATGATGATGATGATGAAGATGATTCAAATAAACAATTAAATAGTGGAAGTAATAATGTCGAGGAAAGTGAAGATGAAGAAGTAGAAGATAATGAAGAACAAGAGGAAGAAACAGGAGATAATGAAGAATTAGTTGATTATAAAAAACAATTGTTTGAAATGGAAGCTGAAGAATCAGGTTTGAAATCAACAAATATATTTTATTATTTGGAAAAATATTCTGAGTTTTTTTAGGAAGTGAAGTTGATGAAAAAGAAAAGGATAATGATGATGATAGTGATGATAATGAAGAACCTGATGAAGAATTACAAAAATTTATTGATACAGCAGCTATTGAAGTCGATGAAGATGAAGCAGATAGTATGGCTAAAGTTCATGCGTAAGTGATTTCGATTTTGAATCAATTTATTTCTTTATAAATGTTTTTTCATAGAAAAATAAAAGCAAAAGAAGATGAACAACAATTAAAATTACTCAAAGAACAATATCTCGATTTCGACGGCGATGATGATGGAAGACGAATAAAAATATCTAAAGGTAATAGTTAAATAAAAACAAAAATATTTAAAATTTATTATTTAATTAGCTCGAACGGATGATGAAGAAGAAGATGATCCTGATTATAATAGTGAAATAGCAGAAGAAGAAGAAGAAGATGATGAAGATGATGATGAAAATAATCCAATGAATTTACATGATCGAATGAGTGAATTAGAACGACAACGTTCTATACAAGATAATCAGGTAAGATAAAATCAATTGATTATCTAATCAAAACAAAAATATTTGTTTTTAGGCTGAAGAACTTCATCTAGACGAAGATTTAGATAGTATTGGTCAAAATAGTTTAATGTTTAAAAAAGGTCTTGTACTTAAACAGAAAAAAATCCAAAGTAAGTTAAACATATCTTTATATTGGTTAATAGAGAGATTAGCACTAGTAATTACCAACATATAGAACACCCGCGATGTCATTTGGTTTTTTAATAGAAATACTATCAGATTTCGATAAGGGCATATGGGATCTATCTGTCAGATCAATCAGTTTTTGTAATTCATTATTCTACTCTTCAATCATCATTTGCATATTATTTTTAGATACGACTACATCTCATATTGAATCAACGACTCAAACAACAACTAGTTCGACAACGAAAAAAACTAATCAAACTCGTTCTGTTACACTTAGTTCAGTTCTATTAGCTAAACGATTTAGTTCAACACTCTTAGCACCAGTTAATAGAAATAATATAACGGTAGCGAATATAAATAATTCAAATGAAACAACAATGACAACAAAAAAACAACATAATCCTCGACGACATGTTTTTACAACAAATACAACAGCTATTAGTACAAATGAAAATCAAAATCCAACAACATCATCATCTGGTGAAAAAGTAAATAGTTTTATATTTCAATAGAATATATATATATAATAAAATTTTAGCGATCTAATTCCACTGATAAATCTCCGAAAACAAATATTAAAAGATTTAAACAATCAACAACAACAACAACTGTTACAACAAAAACTAAAGAATCAGCAACAAGTGTATTTTCCGCTTTAGCATTATCGAATACACGACATTAAATTTCCAATTCTCTAAATCTTGCATGACTTGTCAGATCTTTTTTTCCCCTCTCTCTATGTAATTATTACCTATATTTATCCAAACTTATTTTTTTATATGTATGTTTGTGAAGAACTTACTATGTCTTTACTTGTATTGCTCAAATTTTTTTTCTTTTCGATGAACTTACTTAACTTTGTGTGTGTGTTGCTTCTTCTATATGCATGTTCTTTTCTTTTACTCGGTGAACAAAAAACCGATAGAAATTAGTCAGATAGATAAATAAAAAAAACATATATTGATTCAGATAGAAACACGAATATTTAGAATTTAATCAAAGCTGAAATAATATTATGGAATCCTCAAGTTTACTTCCTAAAACTTTTTATTAGATCTGAGTAGGAGATAGTTCAAAAAACGCCTTGCGATTAGTTATCCTTGATAAATGATCTGCACGAATTAATTTCGAGAACATCTGTCATTCTTCTCAAAGACCATCAGCAATATTCTTTTACATGAAAGGATCTTATTTCGTTGTAGTTAATTCTCTTTTTTTGGTATTAAATTAACAAAGTAATTTCATTCGTCTAAATTTTATTCAATAGAAAAATATACTCCTTAGGTGTGTTTTTTTATTTATCAAGCATTTTACGAGCCATAATTTCTTTCTGTTTTGAAATTCATCAATATATTATTTTCGTCTGATTATTTACTTCTTTTTTAAACACATAATGTTCAGTTATTTTATTTTATTGACATTCAATGACCATGAGTTGAAAAATCAGCATGACAAAACTTTTATTCTTTTATATTCTAGAAGTAAAACCGATTTCAGAATGTCTGACGATGATGGAGTTGATAATGATGATTTTAACGACGATTATGATAATGAAGAGGAAGAAGCTGATAATGATATTGAAAATCAATATTATTTTTCCGAAGCATTGATGGAAGATGATCTAGACAGTGCTCTTGATAGTTTTAAAAATGTTCTTGCATTAGAAAAAGACAGTGGTACAAAAAGTGATTGGGGTTTTAAAACTCTTGAACAATTGGTAAAAATTTATTTGAAAAAAGAAGATTATGAACGAATGTCAACTTATTATAAAGAATTGTAAGTTTATATTTTCATATAGTAAACGAAAGATTTAATTATAACAATTAGATTAGTGAAATTTTTGAAGATAATCATTATTAAACTAGTAGTTTCATCTATGGAGTAAATGGGCTTAGTGATTGCTTAGTATTTTACAACTTAATCGTACATAGATTGTATTTTTAGTTATTATTTAAAGAAAGCCTTCACCTTCATAAAACTCTTTAGGGTATTTGCAACACGGTAAAATCTATATGTAGATACGATTTTGTACTCTTATTTTAACTACAAGAATACTCATTGTTTCTGCATATTTGCAGTATGTTTCGAGTCCGTACAGCTCTATATCTATGAATTCATAGGGATTTACCTGGTCGGTCTCGGTTCTGATTATAATGTCCCATCAATTTTCATCTGTTCATTACTTTTTACTTATTTATTTAACCGATATTTTCAAATAACAAACCAGCTTCTAAATGTCTTTTTGATCTCTAATCTATCCGATCCAAAAAAGTGAATCCAAGTTTTTTCAATCACCATTTACACTATCAGAGCACTTCGATAGAGTCGACTAAAGTTCACGGAAAGTACAACTCGCCGAGTAGATACTTTTCGTGAACTTCAGTCGACTCTATCGAAGTGCTCTGATAGTGTAAACGGCGATTGAAAAGTTGGGTTCACTTCCATCGACCAATCTATCCTAAATCTGTAGATTGGCTGTTTCCACCCCGCTGGTACCAGCATTGACTGAGAGCGCGATGGAAACTAAATGAGATTGAGTGGAAATATGAATAATACTAGTACTATATTTGGTACATTCCTAATGGATTCTATTTAAATTTTAGTGTATTTTCTTTTTACAAAGTAATAAATTAATATACAGAAATTTATGTTTAAAAATAATCGAATTATTTAGCATCTAAAAAAATATAAAAATCTAAATATTTATTATTTTTCTGTTAGATTGACATATATAAAATCAGCTGTTACACGAAATGAAAGTGAAAAAACAATCAATAGTATTATTGATCAAGTCTTAACAACTGAAAAATTAGATCTCATCGAAAATTTTTATGATATAACATTAAACGCATTAAAAGAAGCAAAAAATAATCGTTTATGGTTTAAAGTATATCTCAAATTAGGTAAAATCTATGAAGAAAAACAAGATTATGTTAAATTACAAAAAATTATTAAAGAATTATATAATTCATGTGAAACACCAGAAGGTTAGAACTTTTAGTTTTTAAATTAATCGAAAAAAATTATTTTTTCCAGGAATTGATAATCAAAATCGAGGTACACAATTATTAGAAATTTATGCATTAGAAATTCAAATGCATACATCACAAAAAAATAATAAAAGACTCAAACAATTATATGAAGCATCGTTACATATTAAATCCGCTATTCCTCATCCATTGATAATGGGTTTGTTTTTCTTCTGAATTTAGATCAAAACAAAACATTTTTTTTTTCTTAGGTGTAATACGTGAATGTGGTGGTAAAATGCATTTACGTGAACAAGAATATGATAAAGCTCATACAGATTTCTTTGAAGCATTTAAAAATTATGATGAACCTGGTTCACCACGTCGTATAACATGTTTAAAATATCTTGTACTTGCTAATATGCTTATGCGTTCAACAATTAATCCATTTGATTCACCTGAAGCTAAACCATATAAAGATAATCCTGATATTCAAGCCATGACAAATCTTATTAATGCTTATCAAAATAATAATATCAAAGAATTTGAAGTAATTTTACATAAAAATCGACAATCAATTCTCGATGATCAATTTGTTCGTGAACTTATCGATATACTCCGACGTTCAATACGTACATCAGTTTTAATTCGATTAATAAAACCCTATACGAAAATACATATGAAATTTATTGCAACTGAATTAAATATTAGTATTGATGACGTTGAAAATTTATTAATAACGTGTATACTCGATCAAACAATTCAAGGAAAAATTGATCAAATCAATAATATACTTGAAATTGATCAACAAGAAAATATTCAAGGTATACATCGTTATCAAGCTATAACAAAAATAGCTACGAATTTACAAACTATTCAACATACGATTATACAACGAATTTCTTAATTTTCGATTTTTCTTTTATTATTTTTTAAATCAAGATTATATTTTTGTTTGAATTAAAATGTATTTTGTTTGTTGTGTTCAAATATAAACGAGAAAGAAAACAAACGATGATATTTTTTTATTATTTTGGTTTAAAATAAAAACAAATTATAATTACAGGCACGTTTTGATGATTATCATAATTTATCGATTTGATGTCAACGAGTGATTAGCCCACGCGACATCGTGAATCATGGATAAAAAAACAATCTATATAATTTATTTTGTTGACTAGAAATACTCTTTACTTTCAAGCATCGTCACAGCTGCTTCGTTATTTTTGTTATTGCGTTCTATCTTTTTTATGTTAAAAACAATATACTCATTATAATAAAACTTTATTTACTCAGCGTTGATGATATGATCGTATATATCCAATATCATATTCAAACACTTATTTTTCTTCTCTATAGGGTTTTTTTTGGTAGGTTTACCTTTCGTTTTTTTTGAAAAACGAAATATGATTACACACGATGTGTAGACATGATCAAACGCATGTTCGAACTGTGTACTTAAATTAAAAGAGGAAAAAAAAGAAGAAAAAAAAGGCGTTTTGGAGGTAGTGGTTATTTATCTCATTCTATCGTTGTTCTTTTTTTTATTATACGGGTTGAATCGATTTAAGAATAGATTTTTATTATAATAATGGATGATAATTCGACAAATAAAAATATGGCAACATCAAATAACAATTCCAAGGTTTCATATTCAAGTGATTGGCAACATGCTATGCAGGTTAGTGTAAGTTTTATTTTATATTTCATTCATGTAGAATAACAGTATTTATGCGAGTTATTTATGCTTATCTTTTATCTATACATATTTTACCAGTCCTCTGTTTCAACTAGGTGACTGGTAGTTTATACTTATATATGCACGTTGTTATTGTTAGGACAGTACAGACAATATTAACATTATTTTGATAAATTTTATTAATATTTCATGATTTCATTGTTTATAATTTTTTTATTGGTAAAAATATTCGAAAATAAGAAATAAAATTAATTTTCAACCATCCATTTAAATCAAGAATAAGAGCCAATAAAACTTGTTGTTCTGGGTATAAAAAAAACCTTCAATAGTGCAATTTAACACGTGTTAGAAATATTTCTTTCGCGTTCTTCCCGATTCGAGATATCTGACTGATTTATTATCTAATATATGTGTATATATTTATATATATATTTTAATGAGTCAGCCATATAATACAATAAATAATATCACGCCCTTATTTTCTACTGTTTTTGATGAATAAATAGATATGCGGTATAAGATAAACATACTTATTTTTCTTTATTTAAAAATTATTTAGATGGATTTACGAGGTAAACTTAAAAACGAACTGAAACAAAAAGATCCAAATAATCGATTATATTATCAAAATCAATCATTTGCCGAAACAGCCGTGAATGCTCTTGAACAACGAACATTACTCGATGTTGATTCCGAACCGTAAATTAAACAAATTTTTACTTATATATCTACATAAATGCATTTTTTGTCTTTATATTAATCTAGATGGAATACTCGACATACAAGTATTATTTGTACTCTAGGTATAGTTCAATATATATAATAGTTCGCGAAAAAAACAACCTTTGAAAAACTTTTTTCAGGGCCTGCATCACAAAGTGTCGACATGCTTACAAAAATGATACATGCTGGAATGAATGTTGCTCGACTTAATTTTTCTCATGGATCATATGAAGTATAAATTAGAAGATAATATCAAATTTGAAACATATTTTTTTTCTTTCGATCTTATTTAGTATCATCAAACAAGTATTGAAAATGTTCGTATTGCTGAAAAACTTACTGAATCAACAGGGCAATTACGAACTATTGCAATTGCATTAGATACAAAAGGACCAGAAATTCGAACAGGTGTTCTTGCTGCAGTAAGATAATTTTGATTGTAAAAATAGAATAAAAATAGAAAATGTAATTTGTTTAGGGTGTTAACAGTGAACTTGATCTTCAAACTGGAATGACTGTTCGTATAACAACAGATGAATCATTTGTTGAAAAATGTACAAAAGATAATTTATATGTTGATTACAAAAATATAGTTAAAGTTATAAAAGCCAAGAATCGAATTTTTATTGATGATGGTCTTATTTCATTATTAGTTAAAACTGTTGGTTAGTAGGAAAAGTTATTCTTAATTTTTTGAAAATCTTATTGCTATTTATATATTTTTTAGGAGATAATTATCTTGATTGTGAAGTAGAAAATGGAGGTTTCTTAGGTAGTCGTAAAGGCGTTAATCTACCTGGTGTTCCTGTTGATTTACCAGCTGTATCAGAAAAAGACAAACAAGATCTTGAATTTGCTATTACACATGATGTGAATATTTTCCGATAAGAAGATTATAATTATTTACTTTTTTAATTTGTAGCTTGATATGGTTTTTGCAAGTTTTATTCGTGATGCTGAAGGTATTCGTACAATACGTGCATTCCTTGGTGAAAAAGGAAAAGATATGAAAATTATTGCTAAAATTGAAAATCATCAAGGAATTCAAAAGTATATATATGAATATAATTATTTGATAAGATAATTTGTTTGCTTTCTTTTTAGTTTTGATGAAATTCTTCAAGAAGCTGATGGTATTATGGTTGCACGTGGTGATATGGGTATTGAAATTCCACCACAGAAAGTTTTTGTTGCACAAAAAATGATGATTGCAAAATGTAATCAAGCCGGTAAACCAGTTATTTGTGCTACACAAGTAAAATTTATTTATATATATCAAAGAAAAAAACGATTTTAATATGAATTTTGTAATTAGATGTTAGAAAGTATGATTAAAAATCCTCGTGCAACTCGTGCTGAAGTCAGTGATGTTGCTAATGCTGTTATGGATAATGCTGATTGTATCATGTTATCTGGTGAAACAGCAAAAGGAAAATATCCTGTACAATGTATTCAATTAATGCATGATGTGAGTAGAAGGATTATTATTTCTATAAACAAATTTGTAAATCTATTTTAGATTGCTCGTGAAGCTGAAGCATGTTTATTTCATCGTGAACTTTTCGAAAATCTTCTTTATTTTACTAAACCACCACTAGTAAGATAAACAAAATATATCATTTTTATTTTTTCATAATTTATTTTATTAAGGATCAAATGCAGTCATCAGCAATTGCAGCAGTTGAAGCAGCTTTTCGAAGTTTTGCTTCTATCATTGTTGTTCTTACTCATTCCGGAGAGTAAGATATTTATTGAATCAATAGATGTATATCTATAAGAATAAAATTTCTTTATAGATCAGCTCGACTTATTGCACAATATCGTCCACGTGCTGTAATTATGGCAGTAACTCGATCAATACATACAGCTAGAAAAATGCATCTATATCGTGCTTGTTGTCCTGTTTATGTAAATGGTAAATCATATTTTTAAATTTTATAATCATAAGAAATACATATTTTTAACTATTTTCTTCTAGCTCCACGAAGTAAGTGATCAATTTTTCGTGTATTGATTTTTCATGCTCAGCTTGCTTTCTTCTTTTTTTTTAATTAACCAGTAAAAGATTTACCAAATGATTATTTTAATAATCGTAAGCTAATTAATAAAAGTTTATATTATATATATTAATCTTTATATCTTTTTGTTTTTATTTTAGGTCAAGACGCAAAAAGTAATTAAAAATAATAATATGAATTATGAAGTTTTATATTATTATTGTAGATTTGGAAGCTGAAGTACAAGCAGGATTTAAACAACATAATATTTCAACAAAACAAGCATTAGCTATGAGTGATTGGTTACTTGATGTTGATGCACGTGTTATTGATGCAATTAAAATTGCTAAAGATCGTGGTTTCTGTTCGACTGGCGATGCTGTTATTGTTGTAACTGGATGGGTAATTTATTATTTTTATCTCAATACTTATATATATTTATTGAATTCATATTTCTTTTTTTCTAGCGACCGGGTTATGGCACAACGAATACATTACGTATTATTTATGCCGAATAAATTTATGATTAATCTAAATATGTTTGCGTTTTTATGAAATACATTTTAAGGTCAACCTATTTTATTTTTTGTATTTCATTTTCTTTTCAACAAATATATATCAACATATGAAATTAATAAAAAAAATATAATATCGTTAAATATTCGCACTTAAACCACTTGATAAATATGAATAGAGAAGAAATATTTTTCCAAATTGTAGGTAATTTATTTTTACACATATTCAGTGTTTTATCTAGGTTTTTTCCTTTCGAGAGTGCGATAGCGATTTCCAGGAGGGCGAAAACCTGATTTCTGGAGGGAAAATACATAGTATAAGCACAAAAATTTCAATTTTCGGGAGGGCAAAATCGATCTCCGGGAGGGCGCCGCCATCCCTGCCCTTCCTCTATGTAAATCACTGTACATATTCGAAATGAAAGCATTATGAAAACTAACTTGACCCAAACGAGTGTTTTGTAATACTATACTTCTACAATGTTATAAATGACTATATACAGCTTTTCGTATTGTTATGTTCATAGATATTCATATTTGATTTGTGATAAAACTCCAGTGCGAGTGTTGTTTTGAATTTTTAACACTAAGGATTTTATCAAAATTCTGTTCCTATCAGATTCTATGAGACTCGTCAAAACAGCTACTTTTTGCTGACTTTTATTATGATAATTGTCAATGAATTGCAGTAGGTATTTACTTTTTGATTAAATGCTTTTGATCATTCTCAATTATTATCAAACTAAACTTGGATTCTATAGATTTTTAAAAAGAAGGAAAATTTCTTTTTATTTAAAACTTTATAGTTTATAGTATTACTTTGGTGATCAATCTATTATTTAATATAAATACTGATGTTCATAATAAAATACAATATTTAATTGAATTAGCGTAAGATGATTTTGCTGGACTATTACAGTTCGAATTATGATTGTAATTTATTGGAAAATAAACACTTCATCGAATGATCGAAACTTTTAATTCATGTATATATATAAATTAGGGTTTATAACACAATAAATTCTCGATTCACATTATTTTACAACTTTCATTTGTTTTTGTACACTATTATCTGTACAGGAGCGGATCAAGCATTTCCATGAGAGGGTGGCGGTTTACAAAAAAAAGTAGAAAGTACTATTATTTTTTAGGAGAAACCTATAGTGTTCTAACTGTTTTCAATTTTTGTCAAAGTATCAATTTTCGAGGGGGTATCGGTCGCCGGTTCGCCGAATAGCCAGATCCGCCACTGTATCTGTAAGAATTCAATATTTGTACGATCAGCAATCGTTGATTTTAGATTAATTATTAATAATTAGTTTAAATTTCATATTCATTTCTTTCATCATCCATATTAATGAAGTTGGCTATATGGATAATTCAACTTTTCGCGTTGATGTTTTAGTTGAATATACATTGACATGTCTAGGTCTATTTTTTATGGAATCATAATACTGTTTTTCATCTTTAACATTATTTTATCTGTCAGACATTAATAAAAATTTCTTTTTTTTGATGACATTATCATTTTAAGATATTACACAAACGAATCTATTTATTCAAATGAAACATAACGATGAAGCTTAAGTATTAAATTCTATTACTCAGTACATTGTAATCAATATCGTATATTTGTCTATTACTTAAAAAATATATCAACATTGAACTTTTCATCTTGTTTTTTCTTCATACTTATCAACGACAAGATGTCTATGTATAAATAATTATAGAATTTTTTATTATTTTTCTACTTGCCCTAATGAATAGAAAATGACGAATAACCTGGAGAAAATTAATAACCATTTAACTAATAAATCGAATAACAATATTCAATTTCTTTTTCTAGCAGCTGCTCATCTTACCGACAATGGATAAAAGTTAAATGAATTGAACATAATCATCCAATGATGATGAATAATCTCAATTATCGAAAGAAATAAAGTCAACAGCCAATAACAACATTTTTCTCTCTCTCTATCACTTAAAGAAGAAGACGACGACGACGAATTTTTTCCCTCTTTTTTTTTCTTCTTCTTCGATACTTATTCTCAACCAATGAAATGTTAACATCTATTACTTTCTTGCTGAGTTGCAAGATGACGACCATTCATCAATATTATTTGAAGTTGAATACTATTTCTCACTAGTTTTAACCTGTTGTAATTTTTCTTTGTCGGCAATTGTCTGACATCAAATAAGACACGTTTAGTCAATTGTCTTCCTTAGCAGGCCATAACAATTATTATAAATTCTCTCTTCAATATATATATGTACATATATATATATATGGCACCACTTGTTTAAAATATACAATATGTCATCGATCTTTCCAACTTGGTTCGCCGATACAATGTTGCTTCATCGAAAAAGTTTCCTATCCGAACAATCCAATGAAGATTTAGCTGAACGTTTAAAATATTTACTTGGTGTACAATATTATGCTAGTATATTAACACCACCATCAACAACATCGGAACATATTAAAGAAGAAGATGATGATGACGACGATGATGAAGATGATAATGATGATGATGGTATGGATGAATTAGAAACAACAATTGAATCAACAAATCATCCATACAGATGTAATGAATGTAATAAAGATTTTTCTACATCTCATGGTCTTGAAGTTCATGTACGACGTACACATTCATCTGATGTTCGACCTTATTCATGTGATCTTTGTTCGAAAACATTTAGTCATAGTTTATCACTTGCACAACATCGAACAACTCATACACAAGAACGATGTTTTCAATGTAAAATATGTGGAAAATCTTTTAAACGTTCATCAACATTATCAACACATTTATTAATACATTCGGATACACGACCATATTCATGTGCACATTGTGGAAAACGTTTTCATCAAAAATCTGATATGAAAAAACATACATATATTCATACAGGTAATTATTCTTTTCGTTTCTTTTTTTCTTCTTTGCTTTTCCCAATCTCAGTAAAAGCATTAAATGATCAATGTCAATCAGTTAGATTAGCTCTGATGACATATTGATATCGATTTTGAAACGAAAACGATGATGACGATGCCATGATACAATTAACCAGATGTCAGAGTTTCTCTAGAGAAAGCGTGATGATGACCATTTTAAACATTGATAGGATTCATGTTAAATATGCACACTTAAAGATGGAGAATGAAAAAAAAAAGACGAACTCGTCTAATAAATGGTTACTGACATAGGCGCATGATTTTCACACATATTCACTTTTCCTTTTTTTTTTCTTCAATTGTCGAATCTCATGAGATTAAACGGATCCTATATATGTATGTTATCTTTCTTTTGTCTAGTTGTATTGATCCGTCAAGTTAAAATAATCAAGGGAAATTGATATAACTAGTTCTTTTTTTTATTTTTTTTTAGGAGAAAAACCACATAAATGTATTGTATGTGGTAAAGCTTTTTCTCAATCATCAAATTTGATTACACATAGTCGAAAACATACGGGATATAAACCATTTCAATGTCATAAATGTTTACGTGCATTTCAACGTAAAGTTGATTTACGTCGTCATATTGATACACAACATGGTGCAGAACATATACATGATAATTTATCTTTAAAAACAAAATTTATTGATAAACAAGAAAACAGTAATTCAACAATAAATACAGCAAAATATGGCCCAATTGGATCATTGATTCAAGAACTTGCAGCTCGACATTAACCCTTTAAAAATGACTAACTAATTAAATTGACTTTGCATGATTATTAGTATTTTTTTTTTGTTTTTCCTTTCTTCTTTCTGTATAAAATGATCATCCATATGTTAATGTGTCATATTGAAAGGCGGTGAAGACGGAAAGTGTGAGCAACCATCTGGATAAGAAAAAAAAATCTTGATTGAGGTGGTGTTTTATTATGCATTACAAACCTAGCACGAAAGATTATTAATTTCACATGAATTCTGTGACTAAAACTCATTTATAACCTTATTTTCTATATATTCAATACTATGTCTGTTAATCATACAAACAATAGTCAACTTCTATATATTTTTTAACTACTAGTGTCGACTTCTTTTCTTTTTCTCTTCGCCATATTGTATTGCTTTACTGTTCAATTTCGATGTGTTATCTTTCTTAATGATAATATGATGTCAAATGAAAAAATAAAAATAAATGCTTGCGGCATGAAACACGTGAATTGTTCATATCGCGGCTTGAAATCAAAAGATTACTCTTACACATATATATTTTTCTTTCTCTCCAGCAGGTGTTGAACACGAGCATACGTGATCATCCCTATCCTTACAATATGGTGAACTGTTACTGATCGAATTGTGAAAAAAAAGAAATTGACAAGTTATCATTTGAGATCCTTCAGGCAGTTTAAATAGACAAAAAAAAATGCAAAATGCCATTTGCTCTATGTTGCTTGTGGGTGAAGAAACCTTGTTAAATTAACAAAATGATAATTAAGAATTATAGATATTCTCGTAACATTGATCGTTCATTTAACGTAATAATATATATATCGACTCAAGAGAAAAAGTCAAGCCTTGAGGGTGAATACATATGATAATAAAATCTACAGGTTCTTGAATTTATGTTTTTTTCATCATCCGTTCGCTCAGAAAAAGCAATCATCAACGATTTGAGTCCCTTGTGTATGTCGAACAGCTAACGTTTCTTTTAGCTTACGAGACAATCGTGTTTTTTCTTCTTCTCTTACCAAGAAAATAAAGATGGAATATGTCACATATGAGACTAGCGATAGTAGAACAGTTTAATGTTCGAGATGAATCAATGATTAAGTTAACCAAACATGATGATTATATTTATTCGTCGAGGCTCACACTAAATATGTTAAGAAACAAATTTATTTAATGAATTGATTAGTTTCCTCAGAAGATTGTCAGAATTTTATAAAAATGAATATGCCTGTAAAATCTATCTGATACATTATAAATGTGCTAGATAATGCTAGTTCAGTAGTATGAATCATTGTTTCAATTAGAAGAAAGATAGTGCAGTGGCGGATTTAGAGGTGGGCGATGGAGATTGTCGCCCCTCCTTCAGAAATTTTTTACAGCAAAAATAGGTTCACACTACTTCGACTGGACTCAAAAATAGTTTTTAACCGAAATCGCCCCTCTCTTCCAAGATCCGTCACTGAGATAGTGAGTTCATAGGTCGATTTCAATAACTAAGTATGACTTTAAAATTACCAGAAAATAACTTATAGTATATGAACTGTTTGATTTTATATCGAATATTTATTCTATCAAAAGATTTCAAAGAATTATCTTGAAAACTATTATACATATTTTTCTTATTCTTGTTTCAAAAACTGTTCTTTATTTATCATTTGCTTTTTGATGATGTAATATTTTTGTTTCTTATTATGCCAAATAAAAAAAAATGCAGAAGACAAAAATAACAGATGACAATATTGGCACATTAAAATGACGATAAATATTTTCAAAAACGAATTCTTTTGTTTTTGTTTAACCGAACATATCAAAACCACCTTCTTCATCGCTTGCTTCGGATTCAGGTGCTTTCTTCGCTTCTTCTTTAGCGGCTGGTGCTTTAGCAGCGGCAGCTGCTGGTGCACTGGCTGGTGCTGCAGCGGCGGCAAATTTCGATGGATCTTTTAAGTATTCTTTCAACTGAAATACAAAAACAGATTTTAATGAATATTTAAAGTTGAATAAAAAAATATCGAAAAAGAATTAAATGGACTTCAGAACGCTGTTGGATATGGTACTTTATTCATCAGTTGCTATATCAGAAGCAGAACTGGGTAGTATGGGTTCATCATATGTCCATTTATTCTTTAAAAATCGAATTATTATTGAACTTACGGTTTTAGCTTGTTCGAATTCAACATCGGTATCAGCAGCAAGAGCAAGTAAACGTTTAAATCCACCAAGAATGAGATGTGGTGCTGATGATTTATTTGGATAATTAATACCGAGTGAAAAAGCGGCTAAACGTTGAACACCTTGAGAAAATTTAGCGCGTAAATCAGCTGGCTTAATATCAAGAATAGTTGGTTCAAAACATGAGCCAGAGTCATAAACTAAATTTTTCAAAAATCAAATATTGATTCAAGGTGAAAAAATTAATTTACCTTGACGGATAATAAGACCATAACTAAATGGCGAAATGCCCAACATGTTAAGTAATGTTGCTTCACTTGGACCAACTTTATCGCCAACTTTAATTAAATTAACATCATTCTAAAATTGAAATGGTGAATTAGATTGAATTTATAAACTATTAGATACCTACGTACAATGATTTCAATAGTACCACGTGTAATTTTAGTTGGAATTTGAAGTGCTTGAAAAAAACTTGTTTTTTCTGGACCTAAAGCGGTTACTTGAGCTGGAATAGTGACATCAACAGGTGCAATGGCACCGGCACGAGCTGGAGCAGCAACCTAAAATATAATATTTATTAGTAAATATATACAACATTTTATATAGATTACAAACTTTATTTTCCAAAAGTTTGTCGCGAATTGAGCTTAAGTCTTCTTTGGTAAAAACGAAGCCAATATTTTCGTAAACATGTGGTAACAATTTTTCTAAATTGGTATTTTTTGATGTTTGTCCACGGATGGTTTTACGCATCATTGTATTTTTGCCCATCATAAGAACAGCATGACCACGAAGAGATAAACGGATTTTTTGCATTTGACGTGAACCGACATTATCAGCACCAACAACAAATACTTTCGGGTATTCATCCAAATATTGCTAAAAGATTAGAATTTTTATTTTTCGATTTTATATTTGAATAAAACTAGAAGTTAACAACATTAGATTCTATCAGTAAAGTATTGTTTCTAGATTGAAAATTTTTATTTAATTATTTGCTCTCAGAAAGAAATTATTCTCAACGTTTCCGAAGAAACTCAGAATTGCAGAACAC